CTCATGCTGCTAATCCATGAGACCCCAGATTTGCTGGCCTTATTCTGTACCTTCACAGTAACCAGCAGGTACCTGTTCAGAAACTGAACAAATCCAACAGAACCATTCCCTCGTCTCCTCCATAAGCGTTTGTCTTAAATCAAGAGTCTACCTGACATACGTATCCTCTTTGATTACCTTAAGGTTGCTGACAAGGTAGTTGCTTACAGAGTGGCACATTCATTATGGATTAGCTGTCCTGCGTATCTTCAGTCATTGTATCATGTGCTGCAACCTGCAGAGCCCTCAACAGTCCCCTGCGTTTTGGGACATGTGGTGATCCCCTTGTGCAAGCTGCCCTTCCAGTCCCAGCTGCTGGTTTTGTTGAGCTGAGGGCAGTTCCCAGTCGTGGTGGCTAATGAATGGGAAATGTTTTGGCCTTTTCAAAATGCGTACTTTAACTTTTTACACTGTGTTTGACTTAGATGGTGAGACTCATCTGTGTAGTTGCTAGGCCAGGCAGTACTTAGGGATTAAATCACATGCAAGGTCCAGAAATGCGTCCCATGGCACAGGGACGGCACTGGACATCGGGGGGATGCAAGCAGCCAGGAGACAGCACAGGAAAGCAAAGCTAAGAGGTGCGTTCTCCCTAGGACAGAGGTGGAATGATTTCAGCTGCCTTTAACATCTGCAGAATTGACGTTTACAGTCCTGCAGGGTAGACCATTGCAGTTCATGGAGAGAAATACATGCTTTTCGGCACAGTTCATCTCATGTTGTGATCTGGATGTTTAACACAGGCCTGACAGAAATAATCATCGAGATTTTTTTCTCCCCATTGACTACCAAAGTCTAGATGGCAAGCTCCGGTATCCATCTGAAGTCAGAAGAGTTGTCACCCCGGTGTTGGGCTTTTTATTAATTTTTGTTGGGAATTGCAGTAAATGAGAATTTCAAGGAATGGTTTGAGAGCAGTGAAGTACTTTAACAGATGTTTCTCCCAACACCTGGGGACAAACTTGCTAAAACATACAGACATGCTGCTTGGGTAACTGGAGGGGCTGATAAGGGGTTTTGACATCGGAATATGCTGTAAAGGCCGGAAATAAAGAAAAGTGTGGCTGCAGTTTGAGAGCTCTGGTACAAACAGCTGTAAGAAAAGTAAATGGTCTCAATGGTTCCTTTGCTTGTCTGCTGGACAACTCTCTCTAACCATTGAATATTCTCCCTCTTCAGGGTGGTTTTTCTTCATTTCCATCCCCCAGGAGAGTCTGGCACATCTCTGTACATGTCAGGGGCTTGTTTAGAAGAGTTCTCAATGTCGTGGCACTCTGAGCTCTATCGCTGCTGCTGTTCAGACCTTCTCCTCTCCCATCAGCACCCGTTTGCCCAGGGTGTTGGACCTGTGTTTTGGGCAAATCCTGCTCTGTTGGCAGAGCGGTACCTTGCTGGTCAGGGTGGGCCTGTGGGTTGCCGAAGAAGACACTAAACGTAATTCACAGTGGGAAAACCAGACCACAGATACCCGTTTTTAACTGTGGCGTATTATGGTACAAACTCCCATTTAGACCTACGTCCGAGAATGGCTGAAGAGCTCACTCGCAGATGAATGAGGCTACAAAAATTCTCTCTGCTCGTGTAGTTACATGAAAGAATTCATACCAGACCTTTCTGCAGCTGTAGAGCGAGGCCTGCTGAGCCAATTTCAGTATGTTTTGACTAAAACGTGGCTCTGATTTACAGGCAGCAGCTTGGTGCGACAGTAGGTGCTTCGTACAGCCATGCCTGTCATCACCTTCTGCAAGCATTATTTCTACTGAATGCGGATCTTTGTAACAAAATATTCTTCCTGGTTTGCTTAGGGTGAAGAAACTGAAGGAAACGTTTGCTTTCATACAACTATTGGACAAAAACATGAGTAACCTTCGCACCTGGTTGGCCCGGATTGAGTCTGAGCTTTCCAAACCTGTTGTTTATGACATCTGTGATGACCAAGAAATCCAGAAGAGGCTGGCAGAACAGCAGGTGGGAAATAGGAGCAGCTGGAGTAAATGAGCTAAAATGCTGCTGATTACAATTGGTCCTGGTTTAAAATCACCTCTTTCTTTTCTTTAGCAAGGTCTTCTAACTGTTTGCTTTTCACGGCATGTTCCTGCCAAGATGCATTACATGGAAAATTTTTGTTTGCTTGCTGCAATTTCAGTATTTTGTTGACTTACTCCTACTTCTCCCTTCTCCCCTCTTCCCTCCACCCAAGGAAAACGTGCAGAATACAAACAAAAGGATTTTTACATTTGATAGTTCGCTCAGTTAAGTACAGGAGACCTCATAAGGGTGAGGCAGGGCACAGACAGTGGACAGAATCCATGGATATGACCTGGGTTGACAAGGCGTGAATGCTGGGTCTCCTGCATCCCAGCTGTGACGGATTTAAGTGCTGTGGTTTGATGTATTGCTCTCCCTGGCACAGTCCTCATCCTCTTGCAGACAGCAGAGCAGGCTTGGCAGAGGATTTGAACTTTGGAGGGTGGTCTTGGGCAAACACACCTTTCACTGAGATCTGATCCAATAGGCAGGCTCTGAAGGTCCCCTCAGCATTGGGTGAGATGGTTTGTGAATCCTAGCCCCCTTGGGTGTTGGTAGAGTGCGTTCAGGCGTTTATCCAAGATAGTGGCTCACCAGGGGGATCTTAAGGATCTATGCAAGTTTGAAGTGCTGGAGATGGCAAGGATTGGGCACAGCTGAATGTGCCAGCTATCTCAGCCAAGTGGAAGTGAGATGAGTTGGATAGTCCTGGAGTAAATTTCTCTCTCCAGCAGCCAGAGAAGGGAAAGGAACTTCTCCAAAGCTCAGATTTGCTGGCGGAGTCAGCCTTTGCTCAGGGCTGTGCTGTAAGTCTGCCCAGGCTCAAAGTGCCTCCGTGGGAAGGCTGAGAATGACCACAGTTGTCGTCTGACCTTTGTGTTAAACAAGAATATTTGCCCTAAAACTGAGGGTCCACGAATAAAGCTGTCAAGCATGGAAGCTTTATGGCATCTGCCTTTAAGAACACCTATGATTGTTCTTCACATCCTTCCCATCTTCTCTCTGTACGGCTGCTGCTTTCATGCCTAAGGAAAGATCCCTGGGCAACCTGGACCTGAGGGCTGTGTTCTCTGCTGGTTGATACGGCTCTGCATCCACTCACGTCCCAGACACCGCAGGAAGGGCTCCTCTGCAACTGCGCTGCAGCAGTTGGTCAAACACCAGAAGCCTTGCCCAGTGCCTCTGGTGGCTTCATCTGTGTTGTGAATGGTCATGTAAACAACAGGGAAATATTTTCTCCCTGTCCAAACCTTTTACACTCTCAAAGGCTGTGATAAATTGCCAGGCAAAGAAAAATGTGAGGCACAAATGACTTGTGTCCAAACTAATTTATTTTTATTATGAGCTCGCTCTAAGAGCCATCATTTGCTGCTTAGAGCTACTTACTGCTGTGCCGTTTGGATTCCGTTTCAGACACGGACCTCTGAGCACCTCTAGACTCCTACTGTAACCTTCTAGCAGGCTGAGTGTGAGAAGACTCTGCTGACTACAAAGATGACAGTAAAAAAAAAAGCCTCTTTCACTCTGCATTAGAGAAGCCTTTGTCTGAATGTGACAAGTAAAAAGATTTTTCCTGGTTTTATATGAACAATTATTTCAGCAAGAGCAGAGTGATGGTGAGAAATATGCCCTGCAGCCGCCTTTTATTTGACATCCATGACTGGCAAAGCTTTACCTGCTCAGTCTTGAATAATGACATTCAGAAGCATTGTGCATCCACAGAGATGTTATATAGTATGTTTGTTCAATTAAAGGATGAAGATTAGAACATGAATAATATTAATCTGAAGATTTCAAAGCTGTTTTCCTAATGCAGAAGTCTAGCAGCCTGTAGTCTCTGTAAGCACTCTGGGCAATGCTGTGCAGAGTTGAAGGAAAAGCACCTTTGGGGGCCAAATCTGTGTTCCTGGCCCATTACTTAGTTTTTTGTGTTTGTCTGATTTGGAATGCAGTCGGATCATTTGGAATAACAGCTTGGAAAACAGCAAGGGTTCTGCCTAGGGTTACTCCATGAAAGCAGGCGTGACCAAAGGCAATGAGATTGCGTCAGCAACGTCACCGTAGCGCAGGTGGCGTGGATTTGTAATCTGTGGTCCAGATTCTCACTTTCACCGATGCAGCTGTTAGTCCAGTGTAATTTAAGGAATCCAGAAGAGTCTCTCCAGGTACCAGTAGTGGGGTAGAGCCTGATCTCAGGTGTAGAGCTCGTGTTAAAAAGACACTGCAGCCCCTTGCTCAGAAAACAGCTGTGAAAATTATGTTGAGTCTGCTTCTGGCAGTCTGTCATCTGTGGGAATATTTTGGCTTCTACGTTCCTTAAAGATGTAGGTTACCACAAATCCCACAAGCCAGATTTTGACCATTTACAGCAGAGGCCTTTCAGGTACCCATGTAACAACACTGAAAACTGCCTCTGGGAGATACTCAGCTCCTTGTTGACTTCTGGGAAAATCTTCAGCTCCTTTTGGATTTACTACAAGCTTTGTCTGGTTGGTTGGTTTGTTTTGGTTTGGTTTTGTAAGTCTAGAGCAAAACCAGTTCTACTTGGTCTGTCCACTGAAATCAGTAATACCATTTAATGGCAGTTCCTGTTCACTGTTTTCAGTGAAATACTCATTTTGTTCTAGTGTTATTCAAGAAAAACTCTTTGTATCCTTCATTGGGAAAGCCAGAAATGGGTTGAAAAAAATGGAAATGTAGTGGGCATTGTCATTTCATTAATATTTACAGTTGGTAGCACTGTACAGAGCTGCCTTTTCAGTAAGATGCAGTTAGGTAAGGCTTTTTTGTTGTGGTTACTCGATTACATTGACTTTAGGAGTAGTTATAGGTACAGAATGAGAGCCAGACTACGATGGAGATGCAGGCTCTGGAGAAGAAGACTGTAGTGTAGGTTAGACAAGTGGTCTTTGCCAGATCCTTTAAAATTGTCTGTCAAAACAGGAGCTCTGCCAGAGGGAATTAGAAAAGCAGTGTAACACCAGCTGCCTGTGTGCTGTGCTCCATGATACCAGCCTGTGATCGTACACATGAACTGTACTGCGAGTTCTCTGCCACGTCTTGCAGGCTGATATGAGACCCCGTCATCTTATACTGTCAAAATTAATAAGTATGTGTTTGTGGTATGTGTAAGGTTTGGATTTTGAATGCACATTAAAGTTGTCCAGACCGTTAATGAGAAGATTGAGCTTTCACTAAGAAACCAAAGCGGGACAATCCCTTTTCGCATGGCAGTTCTGTCCTGACCTGTCAGCCTGTCATCTGCACAGCTCATCCTCCAAGTCTGTTGTCTAAAGCTAAATAAGCTTTTCCTGACACACGAATGTCTCTTTCCCCATCCTCTGCAGTATGTATTTTCAAAGGGTCTGTCTGAAGTTTAGCGGTGCTTGTTTCCTTCTGCTCAAGCTATTCTTTTGCCAATGGCAGGACCTGCAACGAGACATAGAGCAACACACCGCAGGGGTGGAATCCGTGTTTAACATTTGCGAGGTCCTGCTGCACGATTCAGATGCGTGTGCTAATGAGACAGAGTGTGACTCCATCCAGCAGACTACCAGGAGTTTGGACAGACGGTGGAGAAACATTTGCGCCATGTCTATGGAGAGGCGAATGAAGTAAGTCGCTTTTTCCTACCCCTCCTAAAGAAGGCTATGGCAGCATTTTGCAGAGATGCCGTAGCTCTTGCCACAAGCTGAATTTTGAAAAAGGAAAAAAAAATCCACAACTAATAGCTGACTTTTAATAAAAACCTTTCCATTTTTGTATCTCCCTCTCAGAATCGAGGAAACCTGGCGCCTATGGCAGAGGTTTTTGGACGACTATTCTCGCTTTGAAGATTGGCTAAAAGCAGCTGAACTAGTAGCAGCTAAGCCTAATTCGTCAGAGGTCTTGTACATACATGCCAAGGAGGAGCTGAAAAAATTTGAGGTGAAATTTTTAGCTTCATTTTTTTAATGCTCAGCAGCAGGCTGAATGGTCAGACTGCTAAATACTTACTGTCTGTGTGAAATGCCTGAGAAACACCAGTTTGGCAGTGGTGATACAGAGAACATAAATAATTTGGCCACTCTGTGGTTGCTAGGTATCTGGTTGATTATAAGTCTCCAGGATTTTTTTTAATATGGAGAATCCAGTTCTCTGAGCTGACAAGATCCTGCTTGTCAGTTAAAGATTTACTTTTTATAGGCAGAAGACCTTTGTGGGTTGATTTTTTTTAACTTCTTTTTCCCAGTGAGCTATATCTTAAGCAGATTTATTTTTTTTGACTCCTCACTGGATTTAACCTTGTGGTCGAAAGGTCTGTTTTTAAGGGGAGGGCATCATCATCTCTCTTGATGGATAGTATCATCCAGGTCCTTTCTCTATCAGCAAGGGAACTGACTTCCTTGATTTGCCTTGCAGGCCTTCCAGCGGCAAATTCACGAACGACTCACACAGTTGGAGCTGATCAATAAGCAGTACAGGCGCCTTGCCCGTGAGAACCGCACCGACTCAGCCAGCAAATTGAAGCAGATGGTACACGAAGGCAACCAGCGCTGGGATAATCTCCAGAAACGAGTGGCTGCCATTCTGAGGAGACTCAAGGTAACTGAATGGTGGGGCGAGAGAGTGAGGAGCACTTGCAAGTTTCTGTAGGAATTACCCAAGGGCAAAACGCATACTGGAGCAACTATCTTGTGTTGTTTATGTCCTGTGTTACCAGCATGGGAGAGCAGCTCTAGAAAGGTCACCAAGTACGTGACATAAACATGTCAATGAACATGAGTTCTTGGTAGTTGGAGAATCAATAGGGGAAGAATGGGTGCAAATTTTGGAAGGTGTGTTGCAGGCCTTACTGCTCTTACCCTCTCTCTTACACAGTCTTGTCGTGGGTGGATGCATTCATGCACTTGCCCCTTTCCCTAGTGCAGATATGGTTTGGAGTTTACAGTGCAGCTCTACTGTATGCCAAGTTATGATTCACCTACAAGACTTTAAACATGGAGGTGTGATGGGGAGCCATGCTGCTGTCACCAACTCCTGTACTCTCTGCCTGACAGAGGAATGTCATCAGAGAGTGAATTTGTGACGCTTCACAGAAGTGTCCTGCTTGTCCAGTTAAACCGATCTCTGGGCAGATATTCTGTGCTGTGCCTTGGGGGAAACTTGTCACTGCCTGATTTTTAAATACAGTAAGCTGCTTGTCTGTTAGCAGCTTCTGTGGGAGATGGCAGCAGAGAGAGCTCCTCGTGGCTTCCACACCAAATGATGCTGTAATTACAGTGGTGTGGCCATCCATGATCCAGCTTCTCCATTGTTTTGCTGATTTTAATGTCATAGTTTTAATTTCAATTAGAGATGGGGCTTGCTTCCTTTGTCTGTCTTGTAAATTTAGAACCAGTTAGATGTTAAACCTGAGTCCAAATAACTGTTACACTAATACAGTGATGTGGGAAGAGGTGTATGGTGTGGAAGCAAGAATTTAATTTTATAGAAGCATCTTGGACTGCTGAAGTTTTATTCCCTTTCTCATATGAATAATGTACATAGGACACTTTGTTCCAGTGTCACTACAGGAAGAGGACAGTTTTTATATGTGGCATGCTGCCATTTGTGCCCTGATGGCCTTTAGGGTGAACAGCAGCTTTGAAACAAAACCCTGTTTTCAGAGGGCTCCTGTGCCCATCTTTTTGAGTAGCTGAAGTTTTAGAACACCATGTCCCTTCTTCCTATGCAGCACTTCACCAATCGGAGAGATGAGTTTGAGGCGACGAGGGAAAGCATCCTTGTTTGGCTCACAGAAATGGACCTCCAGCTGACAAACGTGGAGCACTTCTCAAAAAGTAACATTGATGACAAAATGCGCCAGTTAAACGTACGTATCCTTATTGTGCAGTTGTTTAATATAGCCCAGCTGATCATGTTGGGCTGCTCTGTCTTGACAGAATAATCTACTTTTCTCTGCAACCTGCTTGCACGCTCATTTCTGCTTTCTCCTGGCACTGCTAATTATTTTTGGGGTGTAGATTTACTGTTCTGTAGGCTGGAAGCCCAACCTGCCAAACCTCTTTGCTACTGAGAAGAAGATTGTGTGTACCCAACAGAAGAATAAACTCTGATTAGCTGAACTCTTGTATCGTGATCCTCTGCAGGCTCAGGACACTGCAGTGATACTGATGTGCACATGGGTGGAAAATGTCACTTCATTTGGAACTGTAATCCTGCTAATAAACCTCTGGGCTGCTTGAGTAAAAAGTTATTTGCCAGTTGAAATTAAACAGCGATGTCAGTTGCTGCTTTTCTTTCACTGCAGTGAGCGAGAAAAGAAGGACAAACCTTAGGCTAGAAAGAGATGTTGCAGAAGTAATTATTTTTCTTGTATGTTCCACATAGGGTTTCCAGCAGGAAATAACACTGAACACCAATAAGATTGATCAGCTAATCGTTTTTGGGGAGCAGTTGATTCAGAAGAGTGAGCCTTTGGATGCTATCCTGATTGAAGACGAATTGGAAGAACTTCATAGATACTGTCAGGAAGTGTTTGGACGAGTTGCTCGGTTCCATCAAAGACTGACTTCAAGGCATCCTGTAAGAACCAACAGTTGTTTTGATGCTTTGGCAAGATTTTGGTGCCTGAATGACAATGCCCCTTGCTTATCCCTTGCCGTTGGCTCAGTGATTTGAGCTCAAAGGGGTCAGGAGCTCCTCAGTGGTTGTGCCAGCTTTGCTAAATCTTTGTCGCCAGTCTTGTCTCCTCATGCCTCTCATGTTGGGTCTCCATCTGCAGAATCTGGATAATATGGAAGTAATTCACAGGATTTATATTCAGACAGTTGTGCTTTGAGGAGGGCTTCAAAAGCTTTGTTGTTGTTTTTAATATCACTTCGTTTTCTTTAATTTCAGTAATATGCTTAGAATGTCTCTTTATGGATTTGTTTGTGAGGGTCCATCTGTCCACTGTCTTGTGGGAACCCTGGATGGGAAGCAGCACACGCTTTACTTTTCGCTGGGAACATGTAGCTGTTTCTCAGCTTGCTTTGGCTCAAAAAGAAAGAACATCTGTTAAAAAGCCAGGTAGAGGAAGTGACATGAACATCTACAAACAGCTGTTGAACCCTGCCTGAGCATCGTTTCATTGCTGACCTGTGCAGTCCATTTGGATCTGGGTACCCTTCCCTGCAAGGAGATGTTATGGTGGTGTTTGAGTGTCTTGAAAGTGGGAAGGTAACTGCTGATGCAAGGATTGTTCTGGCAAAAGAGGAACGAGACAGAAATGATGCTTCTCTTTAATTTTAGGCACGTTGTCTTTTGATTACTGCAGCTGACCGCAAAACAGTCCCCAGTAGTAGTGTGTGGCTCAAATATTAGCTCATTAAACGGTGTAGGTCTGTTGTAAGTCTTACTGGTATGCAATAATGGTTATTTATTTGTAGGGATTGGATGATGAAAAAGACACCTCTGAAAATGAGACAGATCCAGAAGACTCGAGAGAAATCCAGAATGATCCCTGGCATAAGAAGGCCATCAGCGAGGGGCCCTCTTCACCACCGTCCCTTTGCCACCTTATGCCCCCTACTCAAGGTCATGAGAGATCGGGCTGTGAAACCCCTGTCAGTGTCGACTCCATCCCCCTCGAGTGGGATCACACAGGTGATGTGGGAGGTTCTTCCTCTCATGAAGACGAAGAAGAAGCAACATACTACAGTGCTCTGTCAGGTGAGAATCAAGTGCCAGCTGTTTCTTCTGACATGGACAACTGCAGGATGTCTGTGTGGGAAGGGAGGGGGATTGAGGTCTTGCTCCCACGTTGTTGGTTGGTTTTTAAGTACTGCTGATATATGTGAGCAGTCTTGGATGTCTTGATGAAAGGAATGGTATTGTCTAAACCAGGATTGTATTTTCAGAAACATAAGGTTTTTAGAAACTGTACTTTTTAAGAATGTTTGATGAAAATGGTACCAGCAACTTACTTTGTTCTTTGTCTTTGCTGTCCCTCATTGTTTCAGTTGTTTTTAATATTGGAAGATATTGAATAGTGAGGAAAATGACATTATTCTTTTTTCAGATGTAGAAATCACTGAAAATCCTGAGGCATATCTTAAAATGACCACAAAAACTTTGAAAGCATCTTCTGGTAGGCACCTGCTAATGCATGTGTCTGAACATGGCAATCTCCCTGTGCTGCACGCTATATTCCTCAACCTCTCTCATACGTAATGTCTGACTTCCTGCCTTGTGTGGACACCATGTCTCATCCTGCCATGGTGTTCTTACGCTGCAGTATTCACATGTACATTACAGAGCAGTCAAGAACATACCATTTAGAGTTTGCCTGGGAAATGCCGAGGTAGTTAATGTGCATTTCATTATACTGATCCAAAGTCTTTTGGTGGTTTGCTCTGGGTAGTATCCCTTTTTCAGTCGTCTCTAATTTCAGTTGCATAATTACTGAAGGAAATAGTTCCAGCTCTACAAGCGTGTTTTTGTGTTTTGTGCATGACAGAACTGTGTGTGTCCTGTCTGTTAAATCCAGAACAAACGTTCTCCAAATCAGGACTTGTCTGTACTTGTCCCTGCTGAAGTGCATTGCAGATGTGTGATAGTATTGTTGAGGTGCAGACATCCCAGAACCACAGTGCAGCCTTTTTCTTTTATTTTTTTGAATACTCATACCTGTATTCAAGCATTTTCCAGAAGAAAACAGAGTGTCCCATAACTGCATGGCTCTCATCTCATTACCTTTGAAACACTGTTGATGTTTTGCAAATGTGCATGCTTTGCAAGGGAAGCTGCAAAACTGTCATTTTTATGCCGTAACTTGATGCCATTTTATTCAGAGTGCTTGCTAACTTAAAGCAACAGCTTCCTTGTGGAGATGAGGTTTTGCACTCATGGCCTATGGTTTTGGTTTTATTTGTTTCAGGAAAGTCTGTTTCAGAAGCTCACCCTTGGCATTCTCCAGACAGCCCAGTCTGCAGGAAACACCGATACAGCCAGGCAGAGGTGGTTGGAAATGTGTTGTCTGGTCCAGAGACAAGTACTCCGTATAAGTCAGACTATGTGAGTTGGAGGTCCTGTGGGCACTGAACCTGTGCGACACGGTCTGTTTGTTGTTCCTCTGTAAATGCATCCTCTGCCCAACTCCAGCATCAAGAAGAAGATTAGTCGTGGGGGGAATGTTCACTCCATGCAAACTCAGGCATTGTTTCTGGTGGCTCAGGTAACTAGTGAGAGTCTCTATGGACTCACTAGAAAAGCCTCTTTAAAGGAATTCAGAACAGTCATGTTAGGCTCCCGATCAGAGTCAGGAGGAACTTCCTCTGTTGTCACATGAGGAGTCTAGCAGAATTTAACACCCCCAGGGAAAGGGTGTGAGTAGCCTCCCTTGATATTTACTGACAAACCTCCCTTTCCTAGGCAGACCAATTTCAAGGGTCCTTTTCTAACATGCAGCCCACCTTTTAATCTGCTTCTGGGCACTAAAAGATGTGCTGTAATGGCTATTGCTCATTGGTACCTCAGCCTTGGTGGGTGGTTGCTGCCACCAGCAGCTGCCAGGCTGAGTGGATCTGGATCAGTTGTCAGCACTCTTCCAGACACAAGGTGATACTGGTATCTGGCTGCTTCTGTCATCATTAATCCAGTCCTAGTGCCTTAGAGTCAATATTGCCAACAAAGAGTGTCAGCAAATGTACATTGGTACCTGTAGTGCAAAGCAATTAATTTGCCATGTCCAGTCTTGTAATAATTGACATCACTATGGTGTGTGTTTGTTTACTGCGAACACACAGAGAGTCAGTATAAATTCTCAGCAAAGGTGCAGAAGCCCAGTGCTCAATCTGACACACAAGAGCTTAGAGGCATTCCCGGCCACCCCAAAGTCTCACAAATGAAGTTTGATGATTTGTTAACCTGCAGGAATCACCCACTGAAATGTCATTCCAGGTGAAGCAGCTCAGCTCTGCAAGCAGCAGCAGCATCAACCAGGAGAAAATCACATCTACAAACATGAGTGATGAAGAACCCCAAGATGACCAAGAGCTTGTGAATATAGCAGCTGTGGAGAAGCAGTCAGGTACAGAGCATTAGGAGTGGCTTTGGTGCTGTGGTGTTTGTCCTGTGAGTCTCAGGGAGACAAAGCAGCGTCTCTGCACAGAGGCAGCCATTTGCCTTGGGAACAAAAGAGAAGTAAACTGCTATCCTCTAAATTGATGTATTTTGTTAAGATTTGCTGAGCTGCCTTCTCACCTGGTACAGTACAACCTGTGTTTGCTGTTCTAAGCTTTTACATTTTCTGCTAGAATTTTTGTCACTCATAATATATTTCTCTCTTTGCTGGTTAGAATGAATTAGAACAATTTCACTTTTGTGTGATACTGAATACTTCGGAGACTTTTAATCAGATTTCAAACCAAAGAAGTGTGTTTTTGTCTCAAATAAGATTGCTATAGTTCATTTTCTCACTTACTGGTATTCCATATAACAAGATGCTACAGCTCCCGTCCAAGAAATCTTTAGTCAAAGCTGGTAATGTGTTCTGTTCTTCACTGTCGTGACGGTGATCCTTTCTTCCAAATAGGCCAGCAGGCTGGGTCTCTTATCCTTTTAGGACTCATTCCTGGTTTCAGGTGCTTGAGATTGTAATAACACATCTGTACTGCAATCACAAAAGTGAGTCAAGTGATAAAAAGACGACTCTGTCTATATGCACCAGCTTACTTAGTTTATGTCTCTAGTCTCACAGATGGAGGAAGGTTGAGTCCCATGCATGGGATGAATAGGAAGATCTCTGAGACGGCTTGGCTGTGCTTCCACAGTAGTGTCAGTAATCACCCAGGTGGCATTTAGCACTGAATTGATGAAACATAAACCCAAGTCCTAGCTCCTGGGTCATACTTTGTCTCATGATGAGTATGGTGTCTACCAAATCACAACTGGGCTCATTGAATTCTGTCTCCTTAGATTTGCTCTGTTCTTCCAAGTGAATTAAAACATCTTCAATTAATGTAATTAAAATCCTGGATAGCATTACTGTGTGGATAACTTGACCAGTAATATGAAACTTACAGACTGCAGAATCTCAAGAAAAATTGTGTCTGGATAGCAGTAGTACATGGTAGCAATTATTTGGCTGTGAGTAGATTGGAGAATGATTTACTCTTAAAACTCCTTGCATCTGTTACATACTCTCTTGATCTTACTGAAGATTTAAACATTTTTTTAATCATTTGTAGGCATTATTGATAGGTGGGAGCTCATCCAAGCTCAAGACCTCAGAAATAAACTTAGGATGAAGCAGAAATTGCAGCAGTGGCAGCAGCTGAACTCAGATCTCAGCGACATCTCTGCTTGGCTTGATAAAACTGAGGAGGAGCTGGAAGAGCTGCAAAAAGTGGAACCTCCAACCACCATGCAAGCATTGGAACAAAGGGTCAAAAAATTGAAGGTAAGTTGTGGCACACTGAGAAGTGGGATTTCAAGATGTTGATGCTCTTTATCATTGCCTTTGTACTCCTGGGATCTGTCGGCAGCGTGAATGCTAATAACAACGTGTGCATGCCACGGAGGGGCTAAGAGGACTAAAGAGGGTGGTTAAGCAAAGTGCTTGTGTTTTCCCATGCAGAGATGTGCAGGCAGTGTGCCTGGGTACAACAGGCAGCCAGGCTGAAATAAAAACCGCTCCCTTTCTGTTTTCTTGCAGAGACACTTTTTGCTCTCAAAAAACCCCCATTCAGCCTCAAACTTCTTTTAGGCCTTTTATTTTCAGATATGGAAAAGCTCAATAATGAAGGCATAGACTCCCAGATGCCTAGGTATAGGCCTTGTCTTAGGGACTGAGTATTCTGAGCAGTGACTCTCACTTTTTTGCTTGTTCTGTGCTATTCCCCTCTGTGCAAACCAAAGAGAGATTGAGTCTACAGGCTGCAAAGTCTTGGCTGATTTTTCTTTTTAATTGCAAAAAATCTTAGCACTTTTGTCTGATAGTTGAAGGATCCTTTCAAAATGTGCAGTTGCATTTTTTCGCTTAGCAAATGCAGGTTTCTCATCAAATAGAGTGCAGTAGTTAAAAACAAGAAACAAAGTACGTTCAGTCTCTGCTAATCTTTAGTCAAGTAATAGAATAGTCGGGCAATAACGCAAACATTTGTCAGCCTGTGTGGTCATGCCATGACCTCAGCCTTCTCAAGTTAGGACTAAGCCAATTCTCAAGTTGAACCAGCAGTTTACCAGGGTACATGTAAGTTCTATGTCACTAGGACTTGGGTGACAAAATGCCTCAGGTTGAACTCTGAGAGATCTAAAGTTCCTCACACTTACAGGAGTGCAAAATCCCTTTGTGATCACCCTTGTGCCAGCAGCCTTGTATGGAGTCACCCAAATCCTGAGGCTGCTCATCAGCTTTGCATCACGCTTGGGATGATGCTCACAAACAAGACACTTTCAGGACAGAGGAGGGATTTCTTAGGCATGTTGAGAGTGTGTTTAAGCCTACACGTGCTTGAGTAGTCATTAGGCTAGGGGTAATAGTTCTGCACTCTAGTGTGACTCCAGTGAGAACGACTCTGATTCACCAAGCACTGAGAAAGGTTTGGTGCTGCTTTGGAAGTGGAGGGAGGCACTGCCCTTCAGGCTGGAGCTGGGTGTCTGACCTCTTCAAGGAGCAGAGCTTCACTTACCCTTCTCTCTTCTGCATTTTCTTAAGAGGAGTCCAGCTGGCTGTAATCCACTTTTCAGACAGCTTGGCTTTCTATGGTGTCTGAAAGAGCGAGCGCACTCTAAGATGTGAATATCATGAGATGTCAGGACATCCCAGTTGCCCTGGATAAGAATAAAGCCAGTCTGGCTGCAGACTGGCTTACTGGTCTTTAGAAGGCTGTGATGGCCCATTTGTATTCCCTGATACTGGAAGAAACTTTGTTGCTTGAATGAGGGAGACTGGGTTCTTTGTTGGGCAAAATGTAATTTAGACTGTTTTCAACAAGTGGGATGCAGATCTCAAGGATATAGATCGACACTCTGTGTTACTAAGGCTGCTGGGAAAAGCAATCTGAGATGTGTTGATTGCAGGACTCATCCTGCAGCTCTTACTTTTCTTCTGCAAGAGCCCACAGCTTGAAAAAGACTGAGTACCCTTGATTCAAACTGTACAGTTCTTGAGGGTACGAGGTGTTGTTTGGCATTCTTTTTTAAAAAAAATTATCTTGAAAAATACAGGCACCACCTTAACATAAAGGTGATACAGCCATGACTTTGCAAATTCCCTGCAATTTTAAGGGAGAGGAGGAAAGGAGGCAGGGATGCCATCTGGGGGGACCTTGACAAGTCAGAGAAATGGCCTGACAGAAACTGTGACTAGAGAGGAAAAAAAAAACAATTCTCATGATGAGGTGGCCTGGTGTGGGACATGGCGCCCAGAGGGGATGGGGAATCTCTGTACTGCAGGTTACTCACAATTGGACTGGATGAGGCCCTGAGCAGCTTGCTCTGAGTTTGAAGTTGTCCCTACGTGAAGCAGGAGGATGGAGTCCAGACCTCCCAACGTCCCTTTCAGCATTACTGTAGAATTCTGAGGCAGCAAAACCTTTATAAATCAAGAGGAAATACCATGTGATGACCTGTAGGAATATTTGTCCAAATGTCAAGGGAAGAGACAGCTCAGAGGAATGAAGAGGGCAGATGTGGATTAAGCCCTAATGCCTGTGACTTAGGGAGAAGCACAGGCCCAAGCAGATTTGCTTTCTTCAAAGTGAAGGATTTTGCTTTCAAAAAAAAAATAACATAAAAAAGGCCACCTACCTGAATATGTTCCTTAGAAGTGTCTGAAAAGCCACCAGATTCAAACAGCTTTCCCCAGTACCTGTGATTCTTTTGGGGGTGTAGTTTTATTGTAACTAAACAACAAGTTTGTCATCATTCATAGAAGCTCCTAATCTGCTATTTCTACCAGGACATGCTTAAAGCATTTGATAACTACAAGGCAGTGGTGCTTTCCATCAACCTGAGCAGCAAAGAATTCCAGAAAGCGGATAGCACAGAGTTCAAAGAGCTTCAGAACAGGCTTCGGAAGGTGAACTTGCACTGGGAGAAAGCGACTCACGCGTTGGACAACTGGAGGAGAGGTTTACAGCAAGCCCTGCTGGATTGCCAGGTGCGTTCCACATGCCAGCTTATAAGGGGAAACTCATTTTTAGGGTGCTGCTGTGGGGTAGATACAGGGAGAGGGCAGGGGAATAATTCCTGCACGTTAGTGAAATGGTTGCTTGAAATCCCAGACACTTAATTTTGTTATAAATTTGACTCTTGGGTTTAAAGGGATTGGTAGCGATACCTTTGAACTGGATAATACCCTTTTGTTATGGAGGTGAAATAGTTTAACTAGGTTGCTGTAGCCTCACTAGTTGTCAGTTTGTTGTTGGTTTTGTCTGATCTGGGCTGGTCAATTTGTTTGTAGGCAAGAGCCAGCACTGCAAAAGTGTTTTTTCTCTTTTGTGCCGATCTTTTTGTTTCACTAGGACTTCCATGATCAGAGCCAAAACCTAATCCTGTGGTTAGCAAGTGCTGATAGCCGAAGGAATGAAGCACAAATCACCGATCCAAATGCTGACCTCAATGCAATACTGGAATGCCAAAAGGAGCTGATGGTAAGTGGAGTCTTAACGACAGCACCTCAGCTCTTCCAGTGAGTCAGTAGCTCTCACCACAAAATGAAGAGCAGTATGTTTACTTCTCAAGATGTCTGCTGCCTGTCCTTGAACCTGCTGTATTCAAGTACGTGGCTGGTTTCTGAAATGGACTAAGAGATTGCCTGTATGAGGCATTTTTTCTGTAATTATGCATCGTAATTAAGTCCCTTATGAACGGTCTTTATGCTGGAGTAAGGTTTCCATTTTCCCAGATTTAATGTCTTTTCCTTATGGATTAATTACTGCTGGAGCTATTTGTAGATGTTGGTTCAAGCAGGTACAGCCAGTCTCTTCAAGAGAACTTCATTTCATATGTAGCTGTAATAGCCGTTCCTGTGTATTGCGGATTCTCAGGCAGGTTGAGTTGTTCTTCAGAGCCTTCCAGAGTTCTTCCTCTTACAAGAACATCCTTAAAGTTGAGAGTAACAGTTTGTTGCTGTTGTTTGTTTGTTTGTTTGTTCTAAGCAACTGGAGAAGGAGCTGGTGGAACAGCAGCTTAAAGTAAACTCGCTTCATGAACTCACAGCTTACCTGCTGCTTAAATCAGATGGTGATTACGTGGAAGCTGATGAGAAGGTCTGTGTAATTGGAAGGAAACTGAAACAGCTTATTGAGCAAGTTTCACGTGACTTAAAAACAATACAAGGAAATCTGGTGAGTCAGTTTAAATACTTTTTATTGACTCTTTCTTGCTGAAAAGTAGCAACATATTAAGAGTAAAGGTATTTATAAATGGCTGGCTTAAAACTTAAGTGCTTCCACTTAAGCTGAAAGAACAAGTACCCCTATAGGAAAACCTTCAGCACCACAAGGCTAGTACAGTGCGGAAACAGATTGCCCAGAGGAGTTGTGCAGTCTCCATCCTTGAGGTGTTTGAAGAGCAGACACAGGGTAAAGCCTTGAGTAAGGCTTTTGGTCTGGTCTCATAGCTGTCCTTGCTTTGAGCAGGGGTTTGATCTAGATGAACTTCCAGCCTGAATTACCCTACGATCCATACCAGAGTCAGGCTATGAGCGTGTAACGAACACCTAGGAATTGTAGTTCATAGCAGTACATTGCTTACCCTGAGAGCTGTCAGACAGAGATATTTTAAAGTTAACACCTGTACACACCGGTTCCACTGTAATTCCTCTGTGCTGTGCATGGCAGAACATGTCTTTATGCTGGAGAAGTGGAGCATCTGTTTACCACTGGTTGTGCACATCTGAAGAGGCAGTGGGGCTGTGCACCATCAGAGAGGCCGTGAAAGGTGGCTCTGTGCACTCATCTGTCATGGGTTTTGAACGTGCATTGTAAAGAGGAACGTGTGGTTACTTTTTAGGACACCAG